TAGACATCAGGCTGGATGTTTGACAAACGTGCTCACGTGCTCCCAGGAGCCCGGCCAAAATACCTGCTCAGTTTAAAAGTGAGGGAAGAGGTCCCGGGAGGCAGAAGACTGGGTAATACTGGGTAGAGCCCGTGGCCGCCTCTCTCCACGTGGCAGTGGCTTCTCAGGAGCCGAGGGGAGCCGGGACTTGGGGCGTGGGACACGGCTGACTGTGCCGTGCCAAGCGCTGGTGAGCTCCGTGCCTTCAGGCGGGCACACTGGAGAGTGACTCCAAGGGAAAAACTCATATTTACAGCTGGAACCTCAAAAAGTTGGGCAATTACATTCTCCCATCAAAGAAGCTGAGTTAGGTTTCTAGTGCCTGTTACACCAGCTCTCATCTGGAAGCCTCAGTTCTGCAGCCTTGTGCCCGCGGTGTTTAAGCCCAAGCCACATCCAAGAGAAAGCACGAGTTTCTCGGAGTGGCTTGAGCTTTCCTTCGAGGGTCCTGGTTCCCAGTTCCAACTGTCTGGCGTTAGTCTACGTGAGTCCAATTGAAATTTTTTAGAAATTAGAAGGAGTAAGCGAAGTGGAAGGGATGAAAGCGATCGGGCTTATCGTAGTGAGCAGAGCGGCTGTGATGTCACCTCGTTTGTCCTTCATGGTAACCCTAAGATTGTGGGATCTACTTTGATTCCCATTCCGTAGATGCGGAAACACAGGCACAGAGGGGTTAACTGACCCGCCAGAGGTTACAGAGCGTCTAGGAAAGCACAGGGGGATTCAGAGCCAGGAGCATTTAACTGTAAGGCCGGGCTCCTTAGCGGCTGTCCTGCCTGCCTCTCTGTTTGCACCCCTGCACTTGACAGGCAGGGGTGTTGTTTGCAAACAGTTCTTTCTTGGGAAGACAGAAGGAATGCCATTCTGAGTGGAACGCTGGCTTTATGGAGCCGGTGGTTCCTGAATGATCTCTAAGTACCCCCGCCCCCCCACTTTGTAAAACAGGACAGGGGTCAGGTGCTGGCATTCCTGGGGCCTGAGCTCGGTTAGCGTAGTCTGTGCGTGGCAGTGTGGGCACCGGCCTCGGGGCAGGCATGCTGGGGCAAGTCAAGGTTTACAGACCACATCCGAAGCTGCGCAGACAGAGCAGGAGGGGACCACGGAGAACGGGGCTGAGCAGCCCGGGGTCCCAGCGAAGGCGTGTCTGTGTGACAGCCAAGATCACCAGTGTGTGTGTGTGTTTCAGCTCTTATTTGTGGGGCAGTGTGTGGACCGATCTGGCTCTCAGGGTGGATGGTGACACCTGTGTTCTTGTCCAGGACTTTCAGGAGCCATGGAGCACGCTCTGAAATGCTTCTCTTGGCAGAAGACCGTGCCGGCCATCTGGACGCTGGGGACACCAGGACGCACGTGCTCTGCGCTCAACGGCATCCGGGTTCTGAGTCTCCTCTGGATCGTGTCGGGGCACACCGGTCAGATGACCGCGTGGCTGTCTTTGGGTGAGGAGAACCAACGAGCTCTCACGAGCAGTCGAGGGAGAGAGAAGCTTCCACGCGAGGGGAGCCTGTTGGGCGGGGCCGCGAGGCTGCACCTTCCCCCAGAGCGGCCTTCCATTTTAGACACATAGCCACGACCTCCTGCAAGCACGTGTCCCAGGCCAGCGCCCGGCTGTCGCTTGACCTCCACCTGGGTATGAATTGGGCCCCTGAAGGACAGGAGGATTTCGTAGTCACTGTCCAAAGAGCTGGATTCCTTCTAGTAACGATTAAGGAATCCAGAAACTAATGTTTCTTTCTCCTGGAAACATAGTCATGCGTAAATGTGTAAATAAATACTGGGCACTGGTGTGAAATTAGTGTTTCTCGGCCTTCTGCCTCTTGCCTCCCTCCCAATGCATGCCAGGACGATCAGCCCCTTATAAGTGGGGCCAACACATGGGGCAGAGTTGAGGGGAGGGGCCAGCCTGGGGTGGTTTGAAGAAGCTGCCCGGCCATCTGCACCGGCCGTGGTGGGGTGACGCTGCCGTGGCCCCCGTGGAGCTGTGGGCCCTGGGAGAGCAGGCAGCCGCTCAAAGCCTTGGTTACCGCTCCGTGGTGGACACTTTGAGGTGCCTAATTCTTAATCCAAGACACCGTCTCCTCTCAAGCTGTGGGGCTGCCCGAAATCCTCTTGAGGCTAAGAAAGTTGAAGGCATTATTCTTGCTTGTTCTGAAACCACAGATCCCGTGACTTTCTTCTGGGAAACAAAAAGACACTGTTTTCGTGTTTGTTGCAGATAATGTGCTCGAGTGGAGAAAGAGAGTGCTTAAAAACCCCCTGTACCTTTATTCTCGGAGTGGCCCCTTCTACCTGGGGGTCGACACATTCTTCCTGGTCAGGTAACGGGGTGTTTTCTCCGCTGTTGTATGCACGTGGCTGTTCGGGGATGTGTGCGCGGGTGTGATGCCATCGTCACTTTAGTGAGAAAAACGGAATGCCTCCCATTTATTTCGTGCCCTGGCCTCCCTTCGGCCGGGCTGTGGGTATCACTGCTGTCCTTAGCTCCCCTCTTTTGTCTACTCCGTGTGTAAAATGAGTTGGGATGGCTGTCTGAGAAGTTTTCAAAGATTTTATTAATGTAGTCGAGAGAGAGAATAGGAGCTAAAGAGTGAGAAAGAGCAGAAGCAGGGGGAGGGGCAGAGGGAGAAGCAGACTCCCCGCTGAGCAGGGAGCCCGATGAGGGACTCAATGCCAGGACCCTGGGATCACGACCTGAGCCGGAGGCAGACACTTACCCCACTGAGCCACTCAGGTGTCCCTCTAAATTTTTTTTTTTTTTAAACGAAAGGAGATTTTATCTGAATCAAAATAGTTTATTTCAGTGGTTCTCAAATTCTGGTCCATGGACGGATGCAAATCCATGATGAACTTGGCGGTTCTCACTAGAGTGAACCGTGAACAAATCTGAAAATGGTGTGACATTTCCTAACGCTTTCTTTATCTACACAGACGACTGAGAGGCCCATTGTCTTGATCATGTGATGAATGTCAGGCACTGTGTTAAGTGCTACAGCTTTACCTCACTTAATCCTAACGATGCCCCCAGAACAGGGGACCACAAAGTCTCCATTTTTCATTTTTTGCTGTTGCTCAGGTGAAATCCACATTAACACGAAACCAAGACCCTCGAGTGAACCATCCAGTGGCACTTAGTACATCTCCAGGAATGGGCCACCACGCCTTCTAACTGGCTCCAAAACACGTTCAGCAGCCCCACCAGAGCCCTCATACCCACTGAGCAGTTCTTCCCCATTCCCCGCGCCCCTAAGTCCTGGAAATCTACTCTCTGAATCTGCGGATTTACCTCTTCTGGTTATTTCGCATAAATGGACCTCACAGCTTCTGGCCTTTTAGTGCCTGTTTCTTTTAGTTAGTGCGCAGTTTCTGAGACTCATGACCGTTGTGGCACAACAACTTCATTCTTCTTTATGGCTGAGGACTATTCCGTTGTATGGATAGATGACAGAATCTCTACCTTATTTATTTATTTTTTTAAGGATTTTATTTATTTATTTGACAGACAGAGATCACAAGTAGGCAGAGAGGCAGGCAGAGATGGGGGGGGGAAGCAGGCTCCCTGCTGAGCAGAGAGCCCGATGCGGGGCTTGATCCCAGGACCCTGAAATCATGACCTGAGCCGAAGGCAGAGGCTTTAACCCACTGAGCCACCCAGACACCCGAGAGTCTCTACTTTAAAGGAAAGACTCCTGAGCCTGAGGGAGAGCGTCCCAGTGTGGAACCACCATTCACACCCAGACAGGCTGACTCTGGAGTCCACATTCTCTGTCACGGTGCTGACTGCCTCTACCTCTTTTGGGTTAAATGTCTCTTCCTTCGCAGGGACATGGTGACAGTGGACGGCAGCTGTTTTTGTCACGTGCTAGGCAGTCATCCATCCCACCATCATCTACTGAACCCCTGCTGGCAGGGCCTCGTTCTAGGCCCTGAGGCTACAACCATGGATAAAACAATCAAGGACTTCTTGTGGTCCCATGAGTTTGTGTGTGCATCCAGCCATAAGCAAACAAAGAAATAATTTTAAAAAATGTGGTCATAGCAAATACTAGGAAAGAATACAACCGTGGCTTGTCCAAAAGTGTGATTTAGAGTCGTCAGAGAAGGCTTGTCTGTTGAGGGGCTGTTGGATCTGAGCGGCAAGGAGCCAGCCATGGGACAATCCAGGATGGGAAAGCTTCAGACAAAGGGAGCCACTAGTGCAGACAAGCTAAGGGGGGTGGGTGGGAGAGAGAGAAAGAGGGAGCATTTGTTCAAATACTGCCTTACCCACCTTGTCCTGCTGGTCCCCCTGTTTTAAAATGGACCCACCACCACTCTTAACTTCCTTTTTCCTGGTTTATTTTTTCTCTTTATCTAACATACTTAGAGATGCCATTTATTTATTATTTCTGTATTTATTGTCTGTGTTATTTATTGTCTCCACGGGAATATAAGGTAGGACTTTCCTCTGCTTTGGGTCCTGCTGTCACTGACCTAACGGAGGTGCTAAGGCTATGGTGTTGCTCAATAATGATTTCTTTCTTTCTCTTCCTTTCTCTCTCTCTCTCTTTCTTTCTTTTTTCCTTCCTTCCTTTTTTGAAAATGGTTTCTTAATTGTTTTAGCTCAAGCCTCTGGTGTGATCATTTCTCGGGGGAATGCAGAGAAAGTAGGGTACAGAATGAGCTGAGACCTGGCCGCCAGGGCTAGGAGGTAGCCAGGGTGACCGCTGAGTGGTCCAGACAGGCAAAGGTCAGAGGCCACCATCTGCAGGGCTAGGGGAACCATCAGGCACCAGACTTTCCAGGAGGGCACAGCTGGGCCTAACCAGCCAGGCAAAGCCCAACTATGGGAGACCTGGGCCAGACCCTTGAGGGTGGAGAGGTCGGCCCAAGGGACAGCATTCGAAGTCCAGAACTCTGTCCCCTGCAAGAGGACTAGTAAGAACAAGGCAAAAAAAAAAAAAGACACCGAATGCTGGATGGGGCTGATTGGCAGAGCTCCAAACCGAGGGAGGGAGCTGGCAAGGACGGATCAGGATGGCTGGAACCCGAGCCAGAACGCAAGCTGGAGGACTGCCACCAGGAGGGAAGAATGAAGGCCTGAAAAGCCACTGGTCATGCCTGGACTATTGGTGCGAATCTCCAAGACAACAGAGACACCACTGGGTCAACCCCGAGGTACCCACAGCACAGGCCAAGGCTATGAAATTTCAGATGTCAAAGAAAACGACGCAGGGGCGCCCCTTTATTGTAAGGACGGCATATCCGACCCCCAGCTCGCTCCGGGGAGTGCTGGGCCTCTTCTCAGTGGTTCTGAGAGTCTGGTCCCAACGCAGCTGTACTAGTCTCATCTGGAAGGTTGTTACAAATGCAGATTCCCGGACCCATCCCAGGCCCACTGAATCACACTGCCCAGGCTGGGAAGAATCCCCTGGGGTGCCGTTGCCCCCTGCCTGAGTCCAAGAACCACAGCGTGAGCCCCGGCGTGAGGAGCTGAGGATGGTGGGTGCAAGCCGGCAGCTCCTGACTCAGCCCAGGAGACCACGACATCCGTCTCTTTTCTCTTTATCCCTACTTGCTTCTGCTTCTAGTTGCCTGTCTCGGGAACGGTTTCCTTCCCCTCCTGTATTCATTCTGTTTACTTTAGAAAGGGCACCTTGGGATGCCAGAGTGGCTCGGTTGGAAGAGCAGTCAACTCTAGATCTCGGGGGTCGTAGTTTCGAGCCCCACGTGGGGGGTAGAGAGGACTTAAATAAATAAACTTTAAAAAAAAAGAAAGGAAGAAAAAAGAAAATGTACGAATTCCCTTAAATAAAATTTTCATTTGAACAATGGGACTATTACTAAGTGATTCCTAGTATTGCCATCATGCTAAGAGACTACAGTCTTTTATTCCACACACAGTGAACCCAGGGAGTCGGAACCAATGTCACGCCCATTTTTACAGCTGGGAAAGTTGATGTGCGGAGACGGAATAACTTGTCCCGGTCCCCCCGGCCAGGAAAGTTAGAATTAGAACTGAAAACATAGTGTTTGTTTCAGGCCCAAAGCGCGGCTTACCCACCATGTCACTCATACGTTTGTTTAAGTGGTAAAACTAAAGACTCCTATCGCCAGGGACGGTCGGGATCCCTTTCTACCACTCTAGAACCTCCGCGTGTCTCTACCGCAGGACTGTCCTCTTCCCCGCTGGGGTCGGGTCTCTGGGTCTTCCCAGCATCCCATAGAGACGTCTCCTGCTCACAGCCCGTTTTCCCTGCCAGCCTTTCTCTTTGGCCCCTGGAAGAAGGGAACGGCAGGATGGTGCTTGCCCGCACACAGAGATAGACCCTGATTCATTCTTTCCTGAAATGGAGAGGAGGCCGGAATTGGAATTGGCTGTCCCACTTCCACAACTCAGCGCTCCTTTCCACACGTCTCTATCAATTGTGTTCCTATTCTAGTGACTCTGACTTGCTGTGTTTCAAAGGAAAGTCATGCTGGCAGAGAACAAAGACGTTCTCTAACCCTTCCTGAGCCCTTCTAACACACACACAGCCCTCTTTTGCAATAGAAAATGCATTTGTTCCTTAGGGAGACACCCACAAGGATCATTGGCATCCATGTCAAAAGGTCAGGAAACTCCCTCCCAAACTTGCTTATCGTCAAGCTAGAGCTCAGAGATGTGGCCTGTTTCTTTAGCGGAGCGTTCTGGGTAACAAATCATCATCAGGATGTGTTGGTGGAGAATCTTGGGCAACCCGCTGAGTCTTTGAGCTTCAGTTTCCCTATTAGGAAAGCAGGGATGGTAATATCTTCTCTTTTACCAACCACTCGCTCCATAAACACTTATGGCAAAGGACTTTGGTATTGCTCTTGAAGCCAAAACAACACCGTTAGCAAAAGTATTTTGAAAACAACGTGGCTTTGGATGTTATCGTTTCTAAAGGCTAATGTTGTAGCTCGTTGAGCTGTTCAAATACTTCTGGTTTTCTTCCCTCCAGGCCCTTGGTCTGCTTCCTGGCCACGTGGCAGTTGGGTGGGAACTAGGTCTGCCAGGGAGGGGCACCTAGTGTTGCCAATATGCTAAGAACTTTAAACAGGTCCCTTTGGGCTCGAGCATTTAATTGCTGGTTTGAAGCCCTCCAGCATGCTTTGTTCTCTGCTGTGGTCCCTGGTGACTTTTCAGAGAGTGGCTGCAACCTCAGCCTGGGTCTCCTGGTGGGGAAGATGCTGAGCTCAAGGCGATGGGCATGGCATGAGCGAGGAAAAAAACTGTTACTGTTTTAGTGTTGGAGATAATCCCATCACTACAGCATCACTTCTTGGACCCCGATACAGACAACCAAGTTAATCATTAGATGCACTGTATCACTGGTAAGCAATTCCCGTGACTAGTCTTCTCTCTCTCTCAGTGGCTGGTTAAGTGCAAGGTCATTTTTAAAGCTACGTGAGAATTCAGACAAAGGAACGACCCTCAGTGTCATACTCAGATTCGTCCTCAGCCGCCTTTTGAGGTAAGTCTCTTTGTCTCATCCCTTAATGCATTATTGCTGCATAATCATTCATTACTTTTGAGTCTTTAGCCCTCTTTTGAAATAATTTTCAAAGAAAAATAAACCGAGAGACATGTTTTTCTTCATAAAGTTGATTTTTGCTGGCTTAATGGCCGTTGGCAGTGGAAGATACCAATTTTCATGGCGTTCATCCAAAGAGAAACTGAACTATATTAAACCAGCAAAAACATCCTTATTCTTCAGCTCATGGGCATCAGATTCCAATAAACGTACGGTCGGCTTTCCCTGGAATGTGTACCCAACGGGAGAATGTGTATGGCTCTTATAAATTGGTAGGAATTGGCTGCCGTAACTCAGAGTACTAAGGGTAATGATAAAAATAAAATAAGATCCAACAAGGAGAGGGGCCAGTGATGCTTGCGATGATGGTGCTTCTGCTCATGGGGAGGTGGGGAGGCTGTGGTCCTCTTTACGAATGTGTGGATGGTTGGGGCAGGAGGGGACCGATATTGGGACGGGGTATGAAATCTGTGGGACAGGAGACAGGCTGTGATGCAATGAGACACACGCGGCGTGGGGAGAAGAGGAAACTTCCACTCAAGTAGCCCAGCACTCCTTTTGTACCTTCTCTAAATCATGGTTTGTTGCTGGCTAGGCTGGAGCTGCTTTCTTTGCTTAGGGTCACCTTGTTATACTTCATTGTCATGGAGCAGGAAGGAGAGTCTTGAAACAGTCTTTTGGGCTAGGAAAAATGGAGTGGGCGAGATCTGCTTGGAGTGGGTCCACCTGGGCTTGCGTTCTGGCTCAAGCCTCTGCCAGCTGTGTGACCTCGAGATGTTGTCTCAACCTTTCTGTGCTTGAGTTTTCTCATCTCAAGAAGGGGAAGCACAGTGACAGTCACTGGACCCTTGTGCAGATGAAGTGAGAGGATGGGTGCTAAGAACCTAGAAATGCATGGGACACCTAGTTGGCCTTCTGTAAGTACAAGCTGCCATTATTACTGTTGTTGCTTCTTATACCCTGTAACTTTTCCAGTAAATAGGTTAAGAATGAGTCTGAGCCAGGGAATAGACCTCTGTTGATTTCTTTTCCCATGACCTTTGTAGTGTCTTCCAAACACTATCAAATCTAGCTCTTGTCTGCCATGCTGGACAGATTGCTTATTCTTTCAATATCTTCTGGGTACTTGGCACTGGGTTTGACCTATTCTACCCTGTGGTCTTCTGTAGCGGGACTGGCACTCAGACCAGGGTTTCTTAGTGAGAGATGCTGATGGGTTGTTAGGGGGTGGGTGTGGGATCCAATGGCATGGTGGGTTCTGCTTGGGAAACCTGCTTCAGAAGAAAAATCCTAGAGCTGGGGATTGAGGAGTGGGACGTGTTTTAGCAGGCAGATAAAGCAGTAGTGGGGGCAGGAAGAGTCTGTGTTTGGGGGGGGGTGTGGGTGTGAGGTCTTCTGGGGCAAGATGGCAGTGAGGATCCCGTGAGTAAATTATTACAATATCTGGTCAGGACAGCAGGTCTGGACTAGTGATTGGCATTGGGAATGGAGAGAGGGCAAAATCAAGGACACTCATATCTTCCAGGCTGAACGACATGGCAGGATGGTGGTGATGTTTTTGAGATAGGGAGCTCTGGGAAAGTGGCAGATCAGAGCCAGGAAGAGAGAGTCCAAAGTGGGACAAAACTTTGTCGAAAAATCAGAGAAAGCATCACCAATCGAGTTTGAACTCACTCTCTAAGGTAAACCCAGTGAGAAAGCAGCCACGTTCCTAGCCACTTTGCTATTCTCATTCTTGTGGGCAAAACCCGCTGTTATTACACAATTATGATTGATTGCTTGCCTGCTTGGTGCCAAGAGCACTGGAAGTAAGATCATTTGTTCACTCACTCTTTCTGTCTTTGTTGAGGGCCCCCTGTGTGCCAGGCACTGCTGTAAGCTCTGGAGACTCAGTACTCCGTAGCCAAGCAGGTGTCTTCTGGCCTGGGGGTTATGTTCTAGTGAACAGAGATAGGCGATCAACAAATAAATATGTAACATTAAGTTGCAACATGCAAATACATTTCTAACAGGTCAGGATGATAAGTGTCAGAAAGTGCTAGATGCGGTCTTCCTCTGGAAGCGTAGTCAGGGGAGATGACATTTGTCAAAGGAAGTAAAAGAAGTTTCAAAGCAGAGAGAATGCTGTGAGGGAAGAAGGGCCCATGCGGGAGTGGGTGCAGAGAAGGGAACATGGTTGGTGTGTTTGGAAAACCACAGAGAGCCCGCAGAAGTGGGGGAAGCCGTAGACTTGGAGAACAGAAGGGAGTGGGTTCGGGGAGATGGGGCGGGAGCTCCATGGCCCAGGCTTACAGGAGCCTTTAGCTGGTTATTCGGAGACAAAAAGCCTCTGGGGGGCTCCGGGAGGGAAGTGGTAGGGTCAGATTTAACCTTTCCAAGAATCACTCTGAGACTAGACTGTGAGAGGACAGGGCAGGCGCTGGGCGACAGCTGGGAGCTACCCCATCTTTAAGAAAATGAGAAAACCCAGCTTCCCAGGGTCAGTCAGAACAAAGACTACATAATAGGAAACAAGGAGAGTAGAAGTTCCAAACCCTTAAAATGGTGTGACAATTCCAACCAGGAGCCACATTTTAAAAATCAGGGGATTTTATAGATATGTGTAAAAAATAATTACTGATAAAAATGTCTAACAGAAGGTTATACACTGAAAGTAGGGGAACCCATCCCAGCCTCACTCCCCACAGGACACCTTTGTTAAGAGTTTCTTGTGAATTTTTGCAAATACTTTCCATCTATTTACAGGCATTGGGTGTTTTTTTTTCTTCATGAGTAGGATTATACTATCTGCTGCGCTATTTTGCACGTAGCTCTTTTGCACTTAATGATTAATGTTGACATGTCATGTCTCTCTGCATGAAAGAACCTACCTCACTGACTTCAAACGTTGCCTGGACGGTGATGTGTTCATGGAGTATCAGGAGTTTAACCTGTCCCCATTAATGGGCATGGTGGTAATTCTAAATTTTTGCTATCTTAGGCGATCGTTCAACGTCTATATATTTTTGTGCACTCTTGTGAACATGTTTGTGGGTAAATTCCCACCAGGAGAATTGGTAGCTCGGTGCATGTAACATTTTGACGGACGTTTTCCAATTTACCTTCCTGCCTCCCCACGTATGAGAATGCCTGCTTCTCACCTTTCTTACAACAGCCGAAGTAGTACTTTCTAATTTTCGAAAACCTTGACTCTAAGTCTTCCAGAAGCTTGGACAAAAAGGGAGAGCATTTACATTTATCTGATGCTTTCAATGTTTCCCACTGTTTTCTTACTGATCTCATTTGAGTCTCAAAGAATCTCAGGAGGCAGGAATCATGATTCTCCTTGGATTAAGGAATTATCATTCTCCGTCTTCCACAGAAGAGGGAAGAGAGAAGTTCTATGATGATCTCAGTATGAAAATGTAGATAAAACTGGAACACCCATTTCTGTAGTTTTGCTCTTCAAGGTGAGACCCACCCCCGTAGCCTCTGCCCCTCCCCCATGTACCCCAATTCAGAGGCCATGCTGGGGGGCAGTGCCTGGACCTTGCTCCCTCCCGAGGGCATCTGACCTGAACTCTGGTTCTGAGGGGAGCAGGGGGTTGACTTACTCTCCCGAGGGAGGTGACAGATGGTGGGAAAGGGGGCTTGGGAGGCCTGTGGGAGCAGCTGCAGGGCAGCCTGGTCATATGGCTGATGTGACGAGGCCTGGGCCTGGGGAAGGCTCCGTGGCTGTTGTCTGAGCTGATCTGGGGAAACACGTCTTGGCACCGTTGGTGGCCCTTTCTGACTGACTGTGATCTGCAAATCCCGCCTGTTCCCTGCATGCCCACAGCTCTCCAGCCTACTAGACACATGCCAGGAAGGATGCTATCATTGTGGGAAGGACAGGAGGCCAACAGGTCTGGGGACTGGTGCTGACCAGGCTGGGTGCTGCCCACCCCCCAGCAGCCCTGCCCTTCCCATCTGTCAAAGCCCACCCCAGGCGCTGGCGCCCCCACTGAGATGTTCGGAGATGCGGTTGGGCCATGTGCCCTGCTCTCAATATGTTCTTTTAAAAGATGGCTGGAATTATAGCTCACCCAGAATATATGCCAGGATTGCATCCCTCTCCCAGCTACAACCTCACCTCTAAACTCGAGGCCAGGGAAGTCCGATAAGTAACCACCAGACAGGTGGCCCACAGACGTGTGGGCGAGTATTAAATGTATACACTGGTTTTGAAAGAGGTAGTCAGGGCCCCTGAGTGGCTCAGTCATTCAGTGTCTGCCTTCAGCTCAGGTCATGATCCCAGGGTCCTGGGATCGAGCCCCACATTAGGCTCCCTCCTTGGCAGGAAGCCTCCTTTCTCTCCCACTCCCACTGCTTGTGTTCCTGCTCTCACTGTCTCTCTCTCTCTGTTAAATAAATAAATGAATAAAAAATCTTAAAAAAAAAAGAATTCGTAAGTAAACTTAAAAAAAAACTTGTCAAAGAAGAAAGGATGTAAATTAGCTCACTAATTTTTTAGATTGATCACCTATTGAAATGATATTTTGAATACACTGAGCTCTCTAATGTATAGTATTAAAATTCATCATAGCTCTTTCTTTCCTTCCTTCTTAAAAGATTTTATTTATTTATTTGTCACAGAGAGAGAGAGAGAGAGAGAGCGAGAGTGCACAAGCAGAGGGAGCAGCAGGCAGAGGAAGAAGCAGTCTCCCTGCTGAGCAGGATCCTCCTGACCCCAGTGGTAGGAAGGTAGTCGCTCAACTGACTGAGTCCCCCAGGCGCCCATAGTAGCTGTTTCTTTTGACTGACAAAGTGGCTTCTAGAACGTAAACACTAGTGGTAGATGTGGCTCGAATTCTGTTTCCAGAGGACACCTGTGCCTTTTTCCCCATCATCTTTGTACCTGCTTCCAGTCCTGCTCGGGAGGAGCTAGGGTAGGAAGGAAGGGAGGGAGAAATAACTCTAGGAAGGGAGGAAGGAAAAGAGGGAGGGAGGAAAGTTCCCGTCCTCCAAGGGGGCCGGGGGCGGGGGAGGGAAGAACAGGACCAGGTGTCTGATCTCAGCACTCCCGCGAGGCTGGGCCACCTTGGACCAGTCGCCCACATCTCAGAGCTGTAGTTTCCCCGTCAGTAAAATAGAGCTGGTGTTTCCCCAAAGGAGAGTTCTGAGGTTTGGAAGTATCTGAGAAGCTCCTAGTGCACCCCCTGCTCCATGACTAACGGTATTTTTGCGTCCACAACACGGGAACCGGCTCACGGTGGCCGCTCACGATTTTTCACCGGGGAATGTCGGAGTGTTTGAGGTGTTGCCGGGGAGCTGGTCGCCCACCCAGACAACCCGCTTTGGAGCGTCTCTCTGGCCCACCCAGGGGACCGCGTGGACCCACTGCCGAGTCACATTCTCTCCCCCGCCCCCGCCCCCAACCACCCCCCACCCCCCACCCCCCACCGCCCCGCCAGGTTGCAGCCTCTTCACCTGTACTCGGTGAGCTTGCTGGTTGGATTGTTCTCTCTTGTTCCTTGGGGACCCGTCTGGGACCTGCCCAAGCTCCACCTGGATAACTGCCGGCAGGCATGGTGGGCAAATGTGCTGTTGCTCAACGATTTCCTGGCGGTCCCAAACGCGGTGAGTCAACAGGCAGGGGCGTGAGCCAACCCCGGGTCTCACTTCATGTTCTGGCATATTCTCTGGAGTAACAGTGAGGCCCTAGTAAGGTGGGCTGCGGGCAGGGAGGCTAGCCCCTAAGGATGGGTGAGCATAACCACACCAGTCCTGGCAGGGGGAGCTGCTGGGAGCAGCAGAGGGAGGGAGCAGGGGAGTGGGCATCGCCAAGCAGCCATCTGGGTGCCCGGATGCAGCCGGCCTTGCCCTGTCAGGGTTCCTGTTCCAGTCCGTGTCACCCCCGTGGAGAAAGGGCAGTTTCTTCACCTCCCCACAGACAGCCTGTGACTGGGATGGAACGTTGCACTGCCGCTTGGCCATCATGAGTTCTTTTCCACTTCAAGCTGGATCTGACAGTCGCAGCACCTATATATATGGCTGGGGGCTTCCTCAAAGCCCTCACAGCCTCGTAATGACCTTGGAGTAAAGGAAAGTGAAATCTCTCTAAGGACATCATGTCACTGATGTTTGCACAGGACACGGACAGCCTTGGAAGCAAGGCTGGAAAGAGAATGGCCAGCGCGTGGCCACTCACAGCACAGAACTGCTTACCAGCTAGACGGCTGCCTTCCACCAGCCAGTGCTGGCGGCTCGGAGGGGGCGTTCATGGCCACCTAACTGCCTTCAGATGGGCCCAGGCGGGGACAGGGCCCGCGGAAGACAGGCAGGGCTGTTGGCCCCATGCAGACAGGCTTGGCCCCTATGCGGGCTTCAGGGGCAAGGACACGAGCCAGCCGCCTCTTTGAGGCAAAACCCACCTTAGGTCCTCGGAAGCACAAGTGTGAGGGCTGGGCAGCCTCGGGTCCTCGAAGATTTCCCCATGACGGGAAATTCTTTCTAACGGGGACAAGGAAAGCTGTCATTTCCCCTGGATAAGTCTGGTGTCCCTTGGACTGTGGGGAGTTGGAGGGAACAAGGAGAAGCCCTTTATCTCTGAAGCCCAGGCATTTCCTCACATTGAAGAAGAAACGCAGGTGACTGGCTCACTTCGCACAAACGTGGGCAGCCCATACCATCCTGCTGCTTTGGCCAGATGATCACCTGCCAGTCATACGTGGGAACTCTGGGGCTTCCCACAAAAGCTGGTCTGCGGCCAGGCCTCCATTCTAGGTGAACACACTCGGCCCCCAAAGGCGGGGAGGGCTAGCCAGGCAGGGAAGAGAGCACAAGGTGGGATGTCAGGATGTTCCTTACATTGGGTCGTGGGATGGAACTGAACTCCCACAGGGGTTCTGGGAGCTTAGCTATGATTGCTTTTTTCAACAATCGAGAACGCTTGTCTGCGTTTCCATTTCGTGAGCGAGCTTCATCGTTCCCACTGTCTGGGCTTGTTACCAGATTAAACAAGTTGAAACACCTGGAACTCGGAATTCCTTTCTCTTCCCATGAAGTCCCTGCCCCCTGCCCCGCCCAGGGAAGTCTTTCCCCAGCTCTGGGAAGCTGAGACCCTGGGGGGTGCCCGGGGAGCGAGGGAAAGGAGTCACCTCTGCTCCTCTCGTTTCAGTGTAATGGCTGGACGTGGTACCTCGCCAATGACTTTCAGTTTCATCTCACCACACCGGCGATCGTCCTCGTCCACGGAAAGTGAGTTTCCCCGGGACAGGTGTGTCGCCCCCTGGGCCGTCTCCCCTGGAACTCTCAGCAAGCGCTGCCGTTCTGGGCAGAGCAGCCTTCACAAGTTAGGAAATGAGCTTCTCAGAAGCATCCGGACACTGAGTCCTCCTCCCCTGTTTGCCTTGCTCCGCATCCCCGATCTCTGTCCTGCCCGCGTCCCTCGGTGCTTTTGCAGAGTTGTAATCTGTGTGTGTTAATATCCAGTCTCAGCCCTTTCCACTAATGGTCTTTGTAACATTTCCGCATCGGGACATGATCCGCATACTCGTCTGTTTTCGAAGTTCTGCACCAGTTTTGTGGTTGGCCATCCAGGTTAGTTCCAGGTTGTCCTGACTCCAAATGATACCTCCAGGACAGTCTCGGAACATACCCCTTTTCCCCCTTCATTTCCTTGGGGCCCTATTTTGAGGTGGAATTACTAGGTGAAGGGGTAGGTGCTTGTTACATATTGTATGATTCTTCTGCGGAAAGAGGTAATTTACAGTGCCCCAAGCAAGGTATCAGTGTACCTGTTCCCCACTTCGGATATTTATTACCTTAATTTCTGTTAGTTGTAGAAAAGCTGAAGGTCTTAATAATTCACGAGGAGACTTACAGCTTGTGGATTATCCATGACACACACACAAAAAAACCACTTTTTGCCATAAAAAGTAACTTTTTATAATAATTTTTAAAGATTTTATTTGTTTATTTGAGAAAGAGAGAGTGAGAAAGAGCACAAGCCGCAGGCCGAGGGAGAGGGAGAAGCAGGTTCTCGATGAGCAGGGAGCCCAACGTGGGGCTCGATCCCAGGACCCTGGGATTGTGTCCTGAGCCAAAGGCAGACGCTTAACCGACTGAGCCCCCGCCAGGCACCCCTCTATGCCATATTTTAAGAGATATTTCTTTTTTTTTTTTAAATACATTTTCGGGGCGCCTGGGTGGCTCAGTGGGTTAAGCCTCTGCCTCTGCTCAGGTCATGATCTCAGGGTCCTGGGATGGAGCCCCTCATGGGGCTCTCTGCTCAGCGGGGAGCCTGCTTCACCCCCCTCCGCCTGCTTGTGATCTCTCTCTGTCAAATAAATAAATAAAATCTTTATAAAAATACATTTTCAAGAAACATTGCAAGATAATAGGATGAAGAGGGGAAAGCCATCCCGGACCCATCCCTCACTCAAGGAGAAGGGAATTCCCTGTCAATATCATGTTTATTTTTATGATCTTTTTTCTGCACAACTTTTTATACATGAAGGGATTCTCTATCCACATGTTAGTATCTTTCTCTTAGTAGTTTTCTGACATAACCAATTTCCTATATTATTTTACTTCCAAGTAAACATAATTTTAATGTGTGCATAAGATTGCATTCCATGAATGAACTCTAGTTTACTCATACCTTCAACTGTTGTTAAATACTTGGATTATTTCTGATTTTATGCTTTTATAAATAACAGTCTGATAGATACTTTTATGATACGTATTTGTCTCCAACTCTGATATTTCTTTAGAATGCATATCTTTAAGGGGAATTACTGGGTCAAAGGGCATGAATGTCATCTAGGCTCTTGAAGCATAATGACAAATTGCTTTCCTTAACGGTCTATCAATATTCAGTCTGCTGGCCATCTAATTACACTGTTGCCAATATGGAACGTTAATAATAATACAAAACAAAATACAAACTTTGTTATTTTGGAATGTAAGAGAACATTCATTTTTCACATCTGACTTGCAAGACTTCAATTACTAGGGGTGTCCCTGAGTTCCAAATAAGTATTGACCAGCCCTGCGTCATGGTTACCTGTTAACACTCTATGCAGGACAGACCTTTAAATCACAGGCTGACCCAGGATGTTGCCCATTCCATGCAAACACTCAAGCCTCCCGAGTAAGAGAAATGCATCCTCATTTTTTAAAAAGATTTATTTATTCATTTTAGAGTGAGAGGGAGAGAGAGAGAGAGAGCACATCTCATTTTAATTTAATCTAAGAATGAAGCACCTTAAAGAAAAAAAAAGGAAAATCTGCTTTTTTCATACATCTTAAATACACACTGCTTTCTAACTTTAAATGTAAAGAGGGGTTTTGTTTGTTTGTTTGTTTACTAACCATTAAAAAAATGTTCCATGGCTTCCACTAAGCACAAAGGCAGTTTGCTGGGATAGTGAGTTGGAGTCAGAAGACATGGATTCAAATCCTGACTGGTAAGTCACTAGCTAGGGAACCTAGGGTACGTTGCAAGGCTCTCAGCTTCAATCTCCATCTCTATAAAATGGAGACGGTAGTGCTTCACATCAGGGTTGGAGGACAAAGGAAGATCAGACACATGGGAACCAGCCCAGGGCCTGCCTATAAGTAACGTGTGACCCCATGTCACTCAGCTACCTGTTATTTGAGACACCATGTCATCACCATTGTCCCCAGCTGCTGTCACCAAGTGGTCCCCTCCCAGTCTCGCAGGGACTGGGGGAGGGTGGCTGGATGAGCCACTGTGAGCATCTGCTCCTCCCCTAAACCCATTCAGGGGGGCCATCTCCCTAATCTCTGTGCTGTCCCTATTCCACAGAGGGTCTCCTTATCTGGGCAATGAGTCTCCTTCCTTGGCTTCCTCTCTAATCACCCTTTCCAGAAGGCACTGGTGTGGAGGAGATGTTAACAAAGGCTTCCCAGACTGAAGGGTCCACGTTGCTGTTGCTCAGCCTCACCCCTTCCCACACACTTCCTGCTTCACCCCTTACTCATTCTGCTCCTCCGAGGTGGGGGAGGGGGTGTGCAGACAGGAGCAAATGCCCGACACTGGGGGGGTGTCTCTCCCTGTATGCCTGCTGTGGGAGAGCCAAGAGGTCCAAGTGTCCGCCCCCACCCACTCTCCCCAAACAAAAGCATCTGAATCGAATGGCTTATTTTCTCAGATGGGTGTTGAGGGGTGGGGAGTACAATTTTTGATATCATAACAGAACTGATAAAAGCATATGCGATTGAAATACAATCAGGTAATGAGATGGAAATGAGATCTAATAATCATATTGCTATTTATTTTGACAATGGAGATTAAAAAAAATAAGCTCTCCTACCTTCACCCTAACCACGGATCAGGCAAGGAAGGTGGAGAGGAGGTAACGGTGGCTTTGGGCTCCTGACCAAGCTCCCCACCCCCACCGCTGGCCCCTTAGAAAGGGTGGGCTGATTCCCCGAACACTCCTGGGTTACTGATCTCTCCTGCTGCTAAGGGAGGGGCTCCCTGAGCAGGAGCTGAGACCTGCTCAGGCTCACAGGGCCTCCCCTGGTGTGGACTCTCCCTCCCACAAGGCAGTTAAACCCTGAGAGCTCCCTCAGGGGAGAGGGGGCACAGCTGGGCCGACCCATTCTCTGGCACCGTCACAGACCTCGGCTCTGTGCTGGACTGTGGCTCCTTGAAGGGCTCTGGAGAACTTGGCAAGTGCCTGCGGGAACAGGTGGGTCGGGTGTGAGGCCTCAGCAGGCCCAGCAGCCCTGGCAGAGGGGGAAGGGCAAGCCTCCTCAGCCTTCCTCAGAGGCGGCCTTTGCAGCACCATGTGCTGATTGCTGGTCTAGGTGTTTAGTGAGGAAAAAGCAAGAGAAATCCTGTAGGGAATCCTGGCCAGGATGCTGGGGGCTGACAGGCTTACAAGGACGACATTCTGTTAGTCCTTCCTCCTCTTGGGCTATGGCCCCTGACTGGACCTTTTTGATGGATCATCCCTCTTGGGGGAATGGGGATTGTGGTTGGTGCTTGAAGCTCCGGGACTTTCTCAATCCCGTTGTCCCAGTTGTCGTCCCCTCAGAAAGCCAGAAAATATAACCACTAACCTGAGCTGGCAGAGGGAAGCCTTTGGCACTGGGCCATTTGTGCCGTGGTCAAAGGCCCCAATTAGTGGCTCAGAGCTCCAGAGGACAAAGGACTAACAGGAGGTAAGGCGGGACATGGGTCACTATCTCCCTGTCTGTTTGGGCCCCTCTGTGTATTCGCTTACTTGGGCTGCTGTGACAAAGTACCATGTAAGTGGCTTGAACAACAGAAATTTATTTCCTCATGGTTCTGGAAATTAGAAGTCAAAGATCAAGGTGTCAGCAGGGCCAGTTTCTTCTGAGGCCTCTCCCTGTGTCTTCACATGGTTTAGAAACGCACTGGTCAGATTGAATGAAGGCCCATCCCAATGACCTCATTTTACCTTAACTATCAATTTAAAGACCCTGTCTCCAAATAGAGCCACATTCTGAGGTGCTGGAAGTTGGCTTTTGCGGGGGACAAAATCCAGCCCATAATAGTCTATGTCAGGAGGCTTTATTAGTTTTACTTATATGGATGGTTAGCCAGGGGAGACTCTCGGATTCCTGAGAGGGGGTGCCACAGATTGGGCTCAAGTCCCCTAGGGAGTTAAACAAATACTTACTTGGGTGGATGTGGGTTTTTATTGGACGGCCTACTACCCACCTAAGACGATGAATTCTTACTACCTCCCAACTCCAGACCTACTGGGGTCCTGCTTGAGTGTCCCTGTGACTTAGGACCCCCGGCTCCAATGTCAGCATCTTTCCTAGAGGCTGTCGTGGAAGGCAGATTTCAATCCCTCAGCTAGAAACCAGCCCTATCCAACCATGTGGCCATGCAACTACATTTAGCTTCTAAATGGTGCGAGGTATAAAAGGTAGGGCTCTTTTCTTTAGAGAACACACTCATCTATAATGCCAGTAATTCAGGGAGGGCAGAACTAGATGGTCCAGCAAAAGGCATTGTAAATAGACATCATTGTTGTCATAACTCCCCAACCCATGCTCACAGCAGACATTACTAATCAATCACAGCACCACTGAGCGAACTAACACTCCTCCATTGCAAACATTAACACTAAACTAGAATTGGCACCCTGGATGAAAATCATTTGCTCCCTGCCTCACTCATGATATAGGAATGGTACCTTATCCCTTCCGCGTGAAGGACCACGGCAACTTCAAGCAGTGGAACGGGCTTGTCAGAGGCATCATCCTGGCAGGGTTGTGCCTAGACAGTCTTGCACCTGTGTTTGACATTTTTTTTGTACCACTGCAGATCGTCTTGGACCCAGCCTTGCCTTGCTCTGAGCCTGTGTCCCTAAATCTCATTTCCTGCCCCAGAACCTCCCATATACTACAGCTGGGACTCCTTCAGGACTCCTCTTGGCCTTAAACATGCGTAGTCCCAAAGTGTGGCTGCTTTGGCTTTTGTGGGCCCACCCTTGACGCAAAGGGGATGGAAGACACTAGAAAAGGCTTCTTTCTTTCACCTCCCAAGACAGTTTTCAGGTGCATTTCAGAAGGCTCCGTAGCACATTCTGGAAGAATGGAGCATTAGCCACCTTGATAGCACATCCTTGTATTAGCTTTCCCTGCTTCCCTGTTTCACACCCCATCCCTCATTCCTAACCCCATATCAAAGACCAACACCCAGATATTTGTCTCAGATTGCATCTGGGAGGGAGAAGAACCCCTGGATTCCCCTCTTCTGCTATCTCCCTGTGTCTGACTGTTATTTCTCTCCTAAATCAACCACCTCCTAGGTCCATAGAGTGCCTCGTGGGTGGCGAGGGACATTCCCAGGCTCGGTCTCATGTTGAGCTGAATTATAAATTTCAGGGTGAAGATGCGGAAATTCAAGTTCCAGGTCCCAGCCAGTAAATGGTCAAGTTTAAAGGCTAACCCAGTTGTCTAACTCCAGCCCACTTTGCCAGGGCTGCCCCCACATCAGCCTCCCTCAAAGGCAGCCCCAGCAGGAAGTGCCTCTGATTGCCAAGCTTTCAAATCTTTCCTAGCCACAGACTTTGCAGTGACGGAAACTGAAGGGAGCCTCTGTCCATGTCCTCTCTTTGCAGAAGTAAACATGTCCTTGTCCTCCTCGGGGCCATGCTGTTCTTGGCATCTTTCACTGCCACAGCTCTGCTCACACTGGCTTATGCCCTTCCGGTCGCAGCTCCGTCAGAAGCAAGGTAACCCCCAGTTTCCAGCCTGCTGCTCTCACGAGCCTGCCCTCCGGAGGGCCAGGACCTCCCAGGAAGGGCTGCTCAGCCAGTGCCAGGCAGTCTGTGCTGTGTGCATTGGCTTGCGGGAAAACTGGGTGGGAAAGTTCAGCCTGGATGGGAAAGCTGATGGCGTTTTTGTTTCCAAACTTCCGAAGCTTTCAAAGGGCGCTGGGTGGGGGCGTCTGCTCTGAAAGCACCGGAAACACACTGCTGCCCATTGAAATGCTTCTCGGAGGAAAGGAGCGCCCCCACGTGGTCGTATTAGGTTTCTCCTTCGGTGGCGAACTTGGGCTTGGAAGTTATGATCCGCTGGAGAGACTGAAATTTAAGGAAGTTGGGGTTACCCCTCGAAAGTCACACCGCCTGTAAGTGGCATACTTACAGGTGTGAGTGGAACCTAGGATCTTACCCACGATGCTATTTTGCCTCCCCAGTGAGGAATATATAACATTCTTCCTTATAACCACCCTGTGTATTAAATGGGGCGGGCGGGGGGGGGGGGGGGGGGGGAAGTGGTCTGATATCCCACTCATCTCTTCTCAGTGCAGCAGGTGGAGTGATACAGATGGAAATCAGATCCTGTCAGTCACCTGCTTAAATTCCTCCAATGGCTGCCCAGTGCTCTCGAAGTAAAATCCTTGTCTGACCTCCTCTATCACTCCCCAGATAGAGTGTGGACTCTGGACCAGTCACACTGGTCTTCCTACATCTGCACACCCAGCCTGCTCCCTCTTCAGGCCTTTGCACTTGCGGTTCTCTCACACTAGAATGCTTTTCCTTTAGAATCCAGGTCTTGGCAGGGTTTTCCTAAAGGTGTCAGGGCAAACATCATTTCTTGACATAAAATAGCCTCAAGCCACATCTGGCACAGGGCGTGTTATGTATTTCTTAGGGGAATGAATGAATGAAGACACCCAGGTTTTTTGACCAGGGGAACACCATGCCCTTCCTGTCATGTCATGTCTTCTGTGGGCAATGCCAGGTGACAGAGGAAGAGGCTCGTTCCTGTCTAGCTCTGGGGTTCTCAATTCTGGAAGCACGTGAGACTCACCTGGGGAGCTTTTAAATCCACCAATGCTTCCAGAAACCACCATCTGAGACCACCTGAATCCCAGTCTCCAGGGATGTGGCCCAAGCAATCAAATTCTCTAAGAGCTTCCACGAAGAGGTTAACTCCTGAGAACCAGATTTTTAGAGCTCTCCTGATGTACCCAGCTACCAGAAACAACTTCTTAAAAGGAACACGGTCATCATAGTTCCTTGGGATCTGGCGGGGGGGTGGGGTTGCTGAAGGGAATTTGGAATTTTAGCAAGCCAGCTGTGACCTAAGACAAGGTTACTGTTTGGGGACCATTACTGAGGAAACGAACAAATGTTCCCCACATTTTCCATTGGATTTGCCAGTTGTAGCAGTGGACATCTGAGAGATTCCTTTTTTCAGCTCCAGATCAAAGAGACCCTTTTGCCTTCCATTCTTGTGTTTTTCAGTGAAAATGTGACTGTGTTATATTTCTCCGAATATTACACTAAGCCCTACTGCAGATATGGGCCGTTCCTCGTGGGCCTCTTTCTGAGCATTTTCATGCATCAAAACCATCAGGCAAACATTCTTAAAACCAAGGTAAGCTTGCCCCATATCTCACTGTAAGGGCTGGGTCTTCTTGGGACTGGAGTGGCCCGTTTGGCCAGACTTGTCAAAAGTCACAGCCAGGAGTCAGACTGCTCAGTACTTTATTGGGCTGTGGTGTGTTAGCAGTGTTTCCTGGTGCTGGAGAATAAGAGTGACCTTATGTTTTTGCCGGAGCCTGATTCTCTACTTTCCTCACTGAGCTGGTGTTCTACCTGTAGGAGGCTTGGTACAGACCCAGAGAACTCACCGATATTGGAAAAACCCACCCATTGAGTTTGCCCTGGCAAGGTCCTCTTCTGGAAGGGCATGGTTATGTTTAATAGCACAAGCTCCTTGGTTTCTATAGACAGGATTCTTGGTGAAATTCAATGGCTCCATCTGGGCATCGGGACACAAGGTATCTAAGGGGAATGAAGCTGTCACTTTGTCTTCCAGGTAAAATTGCTTCCCTGGCTGCTTTGTAGTTAATTGTTCTGGCTTGCTGTCCAACCTCATTACTCAAGCCAGAATCCTGTGTTCATCTTTGATGTGTCCTCCTCATTGAACCCTCCTCCCAGGCAGTCCTCCACCAAGCCCCTTATTGTTTTTCCTGTCCAGCTAAGCTCGCTGAAGCTCTTCCATCTCTTGCCTGGACTTCTTGTCTTGTCCATCTCAAATCCACCCTTGGGGCAATCTGTTTAAAACACTACCTTGGTGTTGCCCTTGAACGGTGCAAAAGCTCTTCATATGGCTTTTCATTGACCCACAAGACCTTGAGGGTAGACCATGTCTTACTTGCCTCTGAATCCCCAATGTCTGGTTCTGAAATCATTGAAGGCACTTAGTAAACACTTCATAAAATAAATTAATTGATTTATAAATAATAAATTAAAATTAATTAACAATTAAAATCACTTAATAAACAAATGAATGAAGGATAATGTGCTTTTCAGTGGATGAAGGGACAAGAATACCTTTTTGAACTATTAGGGTACAGTGATAGCCCCAAATCTCCTCTGTTAAGCCCTACCTTTGTTTGCCTAGGTCTTGTGGGTCCCTCACCTAGATGCTCTGGAGAAGAGGCCCTTGTCCTTGGAAGATCTTGTGTTGCTCACAGAAGGAACAGGAGATAGGGCTTCACTAGAGAGAATGGTTGTAACAAGGGCTATGTGACTTTTCCTATAGTTTGGAGTTTCCCCTGAAAATGCAGGGGATTTTGTAGATTACAACAGAGTGCCATTAAAGAGATGCTTCGGTGTCATCCAGGTTCCAGGGTGTCCAGGGAGCTGAGGGGAAACCCAAGATGACACAGAGCATTTGCAAACACTCCGGACCAAGGAGTGTGGAGCAAGAGCACAGGTCAAGCTAATCTGGAGAAACAAGGTAGAAGGGATGTGTAGACCAAATTCAAAACTCTAGAAGCCAGAAAATAAGAACACAGAGTCCAAGCTGGAGGCAGCCGGGGCCGATATCCTGTGCTAGGAATGAGATGAGGTAGGGTGCATTATCAGTGAAAGAGTGAAGGGCATCCCAGCCCAAAAGACGGGGCTTGTGGAGAGCTCCCTGACCCCCCAGGAAATGCCTTTCCTCCTATGTAAACAGAGCCTAGTGCAGCAATCAGAGGCCAAGGAGGGGAGAGCTTCTCTTTAAAGACTAGACTGTGGACTGAGAAGATGCTAGTTTGGTTCAATGGAGAGGTCATCGTAGCAACTTGGGAACTGGAACAGAGAAGCAAGAGAGATTCTTGGAAGACAGGTGTGAGTCTAAAAAGGTCAAGTGAGGTAACATAAGATCTAAGATCTTGAATTGGGCCTGGCAATAGAATTTGACCCATGAGGCTCTTCTCTGAGCTGGAAAGTTCTCCATTCTCCCACTCCTGCTGCCATTTCATGGCCCCGATGACAAGTTTACAGCCCAGGCACAGACCGTGTGCCGGAAGCCTTGCCTTGTTGGCGGGCACAGGACCATTCCAGGAACCTTTTTAGGTTAAGGAACAGAATGGGAGGTAAGGAGTGGGTTAGAACATTATCTTTTCTTTTTTCCCTTCTTTCATTTAATAGTTATTTGAGATTCACAGCAAGTTACAAAAATAGTACAGAAAGTTAAAAAAAAAAAGTACAGAAAGTCTTGTGTACCCTTGACCTAGGTTTTTTCACTGGTACAAGGCAACCAAGAAATGGACATTGGACGTTGGACACTGGACAGTGCATAGGTCTTGGAGCCACCAGTTTTATGCTCACTCATTTGTGTGTATATAGTTTTGTGCAACTTTAGCACAGGGAGAGTTGTGTAACCTTGATCACCAACAAGGTACACAACTCTGCTGTCACCACAACGATCTCCCTTGTGCTAACTCTTCATGGTCACGTGCCCCAACCTCCCCTACCCCGCCCCGAACCCCAGGCCCTCAGAACCGCTAGTCCAAACCTTCTATAATAGACACCTAAAGTGACACTAACGAGAGGAAAAACTGAATTTGCATAAGAGGAAGTAAATACGCAATGTCCAGAACGGGCTTGATCCGCGTCTCTCCCTTCCTCGTAGGCTCAGGCCGTGCTGGGGTGGATTTGCGCCCTGTCCACCCTGTTCATAGTGGTCGCTCTGGCGTATGTGGTGGATGACAGCCTGGCCACCTCCTCGCCCGCCGTTGCTCTGTACCAGGCCCTGCACCGGACCCTGTGGGCGGCAGCCGTGGGCTGGGTCATGCTGGCGTGTCAGGAAGGCTATGGAGGTATGATGCCGCTGGGGCTGTTCTTAGGGGCTCACGCTGTGTTCCTTTAAAGGCGACACACGCGAAAACACGACGTACACAGAAGGGCTTTCTTATTTGCTGGAGTGGCTGGTACGGACAATTTGTTCATATCCTGGGGGGAGAAATGCTTGCATATTCTATATTTTAGATTTTTACCCTGGTTTATGTACAAATGCAGGTTCCGAAAGGAAAATCTGCAGCCTTTCTCCAGATTAGAAATGTATATTCAAGTCACCTGACATTTTCCCCCTTACTTTTCTGCTTGGCACGAGGTAGGAGCTGGATGCTTGAGTGTCAGAAAATGGCAGGAGAACACCTAGCAAGAATCATCCAGAAAAGGTTAGAAGTCCTAAAGCGATGGAGGTAGAGCCAGGGGGAGCCATGACCTCTTTCTAACCTAGTGAAATACTCAGGAGGGGTTTCCAGGTGGGCCTGTGAACCTGACCCAGTTAGCCTCAGCAGAAGTGTTTGGAAATCATCGTTTAAGGAGAAAAATGATCAATTGATTCCAAGAACTGCAGATTGAGCACAGGCTTATGCCGGGCCTCATGGAGAACTTCACCCACACGATCCTGGGTGACCCTGGCAGTACCGTTGTGGGCAGAACTATCAGGAGCTGTTTCTCGGTGAGAAAGACAGCGCCTGGCGATGAAGGAACTCACGAAGGTCACACAGCTCAGTAGTGGCTGAGCTAGAAAATGAAACCCTGACCAAGTGCAAAGCGAACGCCCAAAGCCCATGACCTTCATATCTGTGCAACATACCCCTCTTAGATGTTTGATTGGTAAATTTGTTTTTGAATTTGGTGAGTTTATAACGATGAGGTATTTGTCCCTTAATACTTAATAGTAAAAGCTTTTCCTTATATGGAGAAATGACATTAACAAAGAAATAGGCTACATTTTCTCTGACTGATGGATTTGCATTTCTGGCAGTTGTTTGAATCACATGACCACACCTAACACGGTTCTCATCCAGTGACAATGACCCTAAGCTGTCGACAGAGCCTCGGAACACAAGCAGTTAGTCCCCCCTGGCCGTGATCGGGGGGCCAAACATCATAGCATTCCTGTCTAATGTAAGAAGTCATGCTAAATGAAGGGTTAACCTGCTAGAGGGAGTGACTCGGGTCAAGTTAGAAGATTAATAGAATGTGCGGCATTATCGTCACGGTGGAGCTAGAAAATACTACTGGTCATTAGGCTGAGTGTGGGTGATACCTGCCTTCATCCAGGGAACAGACAAGCCCTTTGGTCATTCTTGGGCGATATTATCTCTTCAAAGTGTGTTGTCATTAGCTGATCACAATTATCTAGGTGTGACTGGCGTTCTAGCTTTGCACCTCTGACACTATTTTAAGATCTCAGGATTGGTTAGTAGGTGAAGGTAGGAGGTGATAGGCAAGATACAATTCTAGAAAATATGTATCCACCTGGTGACCTTTAGAAAAATATGTCTATAAAGGAACATTTGAAGAAGCGTTTTGCTGAGACTCTCGTGGCGTGAGAGGATCCCGATGGCTCAAATCATCTGTCGCCATCTCAGTCAGAGCCAGTGTAGACCACAGGGTCTGGTTGCGTGCAAAGCCATGTTCTGTTGAGTTGCCAGAGTCATCTTCTGACATTCGCTCCTCCAGTTAAAACCTTTCAGGGCTGCCCTCTCTCCTCCAGCAATGGTCCTCTAACTTTAATAATATATGGACTCATCTCAAAGGAATAAATAGCCTTTAAAACCCTTGTATTGGCTTAAATTAGATTTTAATTCTAATTTTACCTAAACATGAACAAACATAAAGCTAAGACAAATTTTTATGGCTTTTTTTTTTTTTTTTTGACAGAGATCACAAGTAGGCAGAGAGGCAGGCAGAGAGAGGGGGAAGCAGGCTCCCTGCTGAGCAGAGCGCCCGATGTGAGGCTCGATCCCACTACCCTAGGATCATGACCTTAGCTGAAGACAGAGGCTTTAACCCACTGAGCCACCGGGCACCCAAATTTTTATGTTTAGAGCACACAAATTTATAAAGCCAAAACAAATTTATAAAGTAACCATAAAAATGGGCACCTGGCTGGCTCAGTCTGTAGAGTGTGTGACTCTTGATCTTGGGGTTGTGAGTTCAAGCCTCAGTGGAGATTACGTAAAAATAAAATCTTAAAAAAAATAATAGAGTAACCATAAAACTATAAAACCAATAAAATCTGAATTAACAGCATTAATTTAATGTGATTAAAAATTGACTAGAGCTTGTGACATGAACAGGATATTTTTTGCTTTAGAAATGTACTTTTGGGGGCACCTGGGTGGCTCAGTGGGTTAAGCCTCTGCCTTCGGCTCAGGTCATGATCCCAGGGTTCTGGGATCGAGCCCCGCATCGGCCTCTCTGCCCAGCAGGGAGCCTGCTTCCCTTCCTCTCTCTCTCCCTGCTTCTCTGCCTACTTGTGATCTCTGTCTGTTGTATAAACAAGTAAAAATCATTAAAAAAAAAAGAAATGTACTTTTGTGTTGGGTTTACCTGGCTCTTTGCTGACTTAATTTTTCTACAACTATATTGTTAATTCCCCAGTAATATCTTGGTTGATCTTATCCCCTGGCATTCACTTGGGGGCAAATGAGTCTGGTCTGTGAGTCCACTTCTATTTATTCACTCGATCTCATAAAATACTTACCAAATGCTTGATTTATGTCAAGCACTGAGATGCAGGGGCTATAAGCAACAGACAAGAAAACAAATATCTCTCTCTTGTAGGAGATCACAGAGGGTAGGGGAAGTAGAGAGACCAGGAGACTCTAGTGAGCCGGATAATGGTCCCCAAGATTTGAGGTCTTATTGGAACCTTATAGATATGGCGGCAAACATGAGATTGGAAGATGGGGTGATCGTGCTGGCTTATCCAGGTGGGCCCGAAATGCAGTCACATGTATCCTTAAAAGAGGAGAGCAGAGGGAGATTTGACAGACACACAGAGGAGACAGGGATATGGAGATAGAGCAGAGCGTTGAAAATGCTGATGTTGACGAGAGTGGCCACAAGGCAAGGAGTGCCAGAAGCCACGGGA